TATTGTGTGTGCCAAGTCTTTTATGGTTTAGAGTATCTGGATGTGGTATTCGGAATGACACCCCGGAGAACTTCATATTCTGCTGCACGACTTTAAAGCTTATGCATGGAATGACAAAGAAACCTGATCGGGTGAAGGAAGCATTGTTCTGATCTGAACCTAAGTCACTCGTTGTTATCTGTGCTAGTCAGAACAGAGATGTGCAAGCCAAAGAACAATGATATTTGCATCATCTGCAGTTGTATGTCTTGGGCACCTGGTTGGAACGAGGGGCAGTGAGTGAAAGAGAGTAGAGTGGAGGTACTCAGTGCATCATGGGAAGTACCCCAGCAGCCTCGGACTATAGCAGCATAACTATGGGATGGTTCAGGGTCACCTGAGCCAGCCCTCATTATAAGCTTTATTAAAAAGTAAAGTTTTAGGCTTAATCTTAAAAGTAGAGAGGGATTCTACCTCCAGAGCCCACATTGGAAGCTGAGTCCACAGCAGAGGTCGGAAGTATAATGATACACGGAATTTTGATATGTATTGTAGTCTTGGAGTTTTCGACATAGCAGAGAAAATGAAAATAAAATTCTCTTAGATAAATTGGCCACATTTTTTACTGTAACAGCACTTAAATACCACAGACTGTCAGTATGAAAGGACTGTTTTCTCTCAAGTAGAAAATAAACAATGTCTATTAAAGCAGGGGCAACATATTTATAATTAACTTAAATTACCCATTAAATCAAGTGGTGCAATTAAGGTTTTGAATTAACATAAGAAACGCTGCTTTTCTCTCTTTCTGTCAACACTGATGAGACAACCATGTTGTTTTCTAAAACTTCCCAGGAATAGCCAGTGGACAAAGGCGGCCAGGGACTCTGTATTTACATTCAGTGTGAGCTCCACTTGGTGGCTGATAGTTGACTCATACACCATGAGCAAGGAAGTCTGAGGTTCTGGCCTCAAAGGAAGGCAGATTAAAACCTCCAAGTATAGTGTGAGTGACATTATCATATGTTTAGTCAAATGTGCATAGTGTCTGTCTGGAGACTTTTCCCAGTAATTGTTTGGCTCACAGGAAGTACCAAACAGAAATTTTTGTTCCAATTCGAACGCTGCGTACTGAAATACATGTACTGTTATATCCATAGTAGTGACTGACCCTCAGAGTAAATTTTGATGTTTACTTTGTACATTGAGGAGACTTTGTTATTTAATGGTAAATTTAAAAGTACCAGCCTTTTCAGTAGTGAATACAAAACACAGTTAAACCCTGTGTTTACTGACCCTGTCACATCAGCTTTATCAGTGAGAACATTTTGCCTCCATCCTAATCTCCTTGCGGAATCAGCTCCTTCCCAAGTGCAGCCTGGCAGATAATGGCTGTTTTGTTTAGTGGTAGATCTGCCTAAAGTACATAACATGAATTATTCATCTGCTGCTCAAGATTGCACTGGAAAGCAATTGCAGGGCAAACAGTTTGCTGAGTTGAAGACGCACGTTAGGGGGGTCCTTGTCGATGTAACACTGCATATTTAGCGAATGTATCATGTTTTATTGATGCAAACATCCTGACCTCACTTGCTTTAGAAGGCACCAACCTGACAAAATCCTTCCCATGCTTCATTTCACCACTACGTGGCAATCACACTTGCATGCAAGAAGCCATCAAAGCTCTCCTGCTGTCTCATTTCCCAGTGTATTTCTGTTGTTTTTCTCAGCACTGCACATAACCCGCAGAGCAAATTTCTCTTTCACTCTGCGTGGTGTTTTGAGGAACACTTGAGTTGAATATTTATGCAGGTAAACAGAATTGGGGAGATGTTGATGGATACTCCCTACCCTCCTCCCATCTAGAGGCCCCATATGCATCTGACTCTTGACACTATTAGTCTGTTGAGAAGTTTTCTGCTGACTACGAGAAGAACTTCTATTTGACCCTCCTAACACATTTCCGAGCCAGTGGAGCTTCTTTTTGATTGTGAAGCCTTGCTTATTCAAGGATATAATCTGCACAGCACAGACATGAGTGGGGCCATGCCAGGATGAGGGCTTTTAGATCAATGTGCCTCCCCTGAGAGCCGCTGACTTTTTGCACTAACAATAGTACAGCAACAGTGATTTTATTGCAGAGGAGGTTTAAACACATCAGCTTTCTGCCAAGTGCAAGTAAAGAAAAGAAATCCAAGCTGTTTGAGGACACAGGAGCAAACATGGGTAGCCTAATGCTTCTTTGTTGCAAGCTTGTTTCAAACTTGGAAAGTGTCATTAAGTGTTACAACAGCATGTCTTACATGGTGTGCAGATTTACTGAAGCAGTAGGCCAGCCACTGTCTTCCTAGCATGCAGCTACATTTTGCCACCAGAAAGTGTAGCTGTGTTTTTCTTTTCTTTTTTTGTTCTGGTTTAAACTATTTCTGTCTAGAAGTTGCTTTTTAAATGCCCCAAAAATCACAATAACTCAACACACCTACTGTCTCAATACATTCAGGTTTTTTTTTTGGTTTTTATATTGATGTATAGAATAATGTCCCAAATCATGTCATGGTCTGGTTAGAATCATAGCTAGTGTGATTTATAAGTTACATGCTTAATTGATATGAAGTTGATTGTACTTGTGCAGCATTACAGGTAAAATGTTGCTGTAGAACGTTTGCTATCATATGGGGTTTTTGCTTTTTATATTTAGTCTTTTAAATGTTCTGAACCTTGTTTAAGGTGACCCTGAATTAGAAGCTTGGCCATTAGATCCTTTGTTAACTTAGAAGTAAAATTTTTATAATTAAACTGGGTTAGGGACTGAGGGCAAAAATAGCTCAAGATAATAATCAGGAGTAGTGGCATGGTTGAGTAGTTTCTACAGTTTTGAGATTCTGATTTTAACGTTGACAGACCTGTAATGACTAAAAGGTAACAGCAATGCCGACAGCTTTTTGCCGCTCTACCATCTCTTTGTGACAAAGACTATTTCATGTGATGATGGCGTTGGATAAAAAAATGTTTAGGAATCATCATTACAGTTTATTCAGAGGATAAAGTGAATGTGTGTACCAAATTGTGGTTGAGACATTTGACTCAAAACCATTAATGTTAGCCTCATGTGTTCAAATGTTACGCCTGTCCATTCAGCATAAGTTATGATGGCTCCCTGGTTGTGTAGTGTAAAGTTGAACTAGATAGTTGGTTAGACCAGTCATCAAGTCAGTAGGATTCATGGTCTGTGGGACCACATGGTTTTTTTTTTTTTGGCCTTTTTGCCTTTATTAGATAGGACAGTTAAAGGAGAGACAGGAAAGCAGAATGGGTTGCAGCAAAGGTCCATGAGCAGGATTCAAACCCATGGCCGCTGCATCGGGGACTCCAGCCTAGGTCACCAGCTCAACCAGGTGAGCTAAAGCGGTGGCCCTGTGGGACCACATGTTTGAGGACAGCATCTCATGTCAATCCATTCTGTGACTTGAACTTTTTCATTCACCAGACAAATGTTGTCATCCATAGATCTAAGACACAAACATGGCTAATAGAACCTAGCTTTACTCTGGTCAGTAGCCAGCAAATGAAGAAATGCAGCAATCATTTACCATATTTGCCATATTGTTTTCTATATACAGACAACGAACAAACTGCTTAACTATCCTATCATCTGTGAGAGCCTTCTGTTGTAGAGAACAATCCCAACTCTTAGTTACTAATGTTCATGATTCTACTGCTACAGTATACAACATAAATTGGTTCAACCCTGTGCAATGTCATTTGGATTATTTCAAACACATCACCAAAACCTGTGATCACTGAAACAAAATTGAGATCACCTCTGATTTTCAGTTAGCTTAACTGCATTTACATGTCTACAAAATGATCTGTGAACACCAGAACTTTCTCAGTTTTGGACCTATGGGCTGTGTTCCTCTTTTTTCAGACAAAGTTAAGAAATCTGATTGTGAGACTGCACCAAGCTATAAGGATGCAGCAAGATTGATGACCAACTAAGAATAAATTGAAACATATGTGCAATACTAATCACAAGGTAGTAAATGAGCCGTTGTACCACCAAGTGGTCACCCTTCAAAAATACTGCTTGCACAATTTAGCTCCAACAAAACAGAGGAGCAAGTCTCACACTGGTTAAGCTTAGACAGTGTGAAGGATATTAGATAGCATGGTCTCTAGATGGCCTTTGTTTGCTTTTAGGCACAAAAATTCAAGTTAAAGCTTTGCTATCAAACAAGAAAAGATGCCTGCCTCATGTGTTGGGCTTAGATTGGGTCCAACATGTGTGGTGTAAACCTGGACAGGACCACAAGAGTGAATGCATAGTCCTGACAATGAAGCATGGAGTCAGTGCAAGAGATTTTGGAGCGATTACACTTAAAGATGGCGCTATGAATACCAACATGCTGCCTGACAAGATGACTCCCAGACTGTAGCAGCTTGCCAGAAAGGGAATATTCCAGCATGACAACCATTGAAAGCACACTGTCACAATCACTTGGGACTGAAAGCTATGACCTGACTATTGAGATTTGGGTTGACTTAAAGCCAGTAGAATCCCCCTGGGGTATTCAAATGAGAAAGGCAGAGCAACACAACCTCTTCAGCAAAGAGCAGCTGGAAAAGTGTGTCTCTGCAGAATGGTACAACATTTCTTTAAAAATGTGTGCAACACTAGTATCTTTGATGCCTAGGAGTATTGAGACTGTCATAAAAGTAACGGTGGACATCAGATGTATTGGAAAAAATAAATAAGTGAAGGAATGGATACTGACTTCTATTGCATTAAGTTCCTTCTGTGAGGCCTGCATTTTAGTAAAGTACATCTAAACTGCCCTTTTACATAAGAGCAAATACTCTATTGTTCAACTTAAACATAGTGTAGTCACTGCAAGGTGATATAGTTTTGAATCATTTGCCATTTAAGTGATTTTGCACTGTTTTGGCGATTATTTTTGTCTTCCAAAAACTATGCACGCAACTGTATTGACAGCATGATGCTACTTTCTTATTTTGATCAGATGCTGGACAAGCTGAGAGACCGATGGATCAACACTGGTCTTTGGGAGAAGCTAGAGCAACAGAAAACAGTGATCACCGAGCCCCGCGGTGGAGGGAAGGGGGATTTTGACGAGCTGCTTCAGACATACTATGATGCTATCAAATACAGTGAGGAAAGAGGTGAGACTGGTAAACATCATCAAACTGTCATTGGTACACTTACTATTTTTGTTATATTACACTGAAGTTGCTTAAATGGTAACTTGAACACCTGTACATTTGTGCTAAAACACATTAATGTGTGATCTAGTGCTTGTACAGTGAGTCAAGCAATGAATTGATTTATAAGAGTACAATTAAAAGCTGCTCCTAAACTTAAATTGTCAATTTAATGTCATTTGAACAGCAGCACAAACCCAGACAGAATCATAAGTTACCAGATAATAGTTCTTGTAAATGTTTAGTTTTACTGTATGCTGTTTGTTGATGTAGGCTGTATGTGATTTCTTTCTCGTAGATGGTGCACTGCTGATTGCTGTGTGTCGGGGTAAAGTGAGTGAAGGGCTCGACTTTACAGATGATAATGCCAGAGCAGTGGTCACCATTGGAATTCCCTTCCCGAACATCAAAGACCTCCAGGCAAGTACAATCACAGTCTGCAGATGTTCTCTAGCAACTCTTTCAGTTGTGAATGCTAAACAAGTGGTTAGGATCAGAGGTTCCAACACTCAGGCCAGGCTTCTGGGCTGCAGCTAAAGTAACTTTTACCAAAAAAAAGTTAATTTTGTTCATTATTCAACACTTCGCTGTCTAGTTTACAGAGGCCTTGACTGTAATGCTATAAAATGTGTGAACATGCAATCTTTCAGTGTATTGACAACTGACCACATGTCTGTATCAGACAAAAATTGGGTGCTAGTCATGGCTCCTATACCACGCATGACCAAAGGACACACTAAATCTAAGACTTGCTGTTTTCTCCAGCTCTTTTTTATCTCGGTTACAGGATGCTTCATCTTTAAAAGTACCTATATAAGCAAATGTTGGGGAAGAGATCATAACTTTGCCCTTGTGAAAATTGTCAAAAACTGTGACCATGATAATGTTAGTGTCCAAGCTCCAAGGGCCAACACTGTGGGTACGATAAAGACAAAAAAATATGTCTCACAGACAAACACGTGCACGCTCACACAAACCCACACCACATAAGAGCATCCCTTTTTGGTGATCCGTGAAAAAAAATCCCAAAGCGATGTTGCTGTGTCTGCCCCGTCCTTAGCAGATAAAGTTGACCTTTAAGTTTGAGTCTCCCCCCCGCCTCCCACTTCTCCTCCCCTTTACTCCTCCTCATCCTCCTGTCAGAGCACGATGAAGCTTTCACTAACCTGTTCTGTCAGTGTAGCAAGACGTGTGGGTGATTGAAGCTTCCCAGACCCTTTCACCTTAGCCAAAGCTGTCAGTTTCACCTCTGTCAGTTCTCAGGGCATTGTGTTTTCTTTTTTCTCAGATTTGCTTTATGTTTTGTTTTTTTTAATCTTGTGTTTTTTGTTAACAAAATAGCTATTGGATTGCTGTAGAGAAGGTTATATTACAGTTTTTAGAGTTTTACCCTGAGAGGTGTCCATTTTTTTATATTAAGCAGGTGTTCCCTGAAACTTAGTGCCAGTCAAATCCTAAAAAAATCTAAAGAGTCACCAACATGGAATGCTGTACTTCTTCACCCACACTAGTAAAATATTTAAACTGCCAGTCTATTATAGGTGTACACTGGGAGCAGTTATTGATGTTTCATCCCTACCACCAAAATCCATGCACAGTCCACGTAACAGTTATGCTTATCCAACAAAATGCACGTGGGTGACAGAATAGATAGCTTTGGAGCACGAAAGGGAAAGTCTGAATATAGACAGACTGCAGGACTAAAGACTGAAACCAACAAATTCTGGCTTCAGCATTGTTGTGCAATTTATCGAAAAGAACACAAACAAACTGCAGAATATCACCTGCCTTTGCCTTTAAATGCCACCGGCACAAAGGAATCATTTTCTTGTACTAACTTCATGTTGCAAATGATAACCAGTATCATGCTTGAGAAGATGGGAGAAATGGTACTTTTTTTTTCTTTTTTTTTTTTTTTGAACTAAGGGTTTTAGCAATTTGCTGTTAGATGGTATTACATTCTATGTTTTTTTTGTTAAATTAGTTGGCATAGTAATGGAACAAATGCAACAGAGGCTAATATGCAATATCATGAAGGAGATGTATTGGTGTAGTCTCGCTGCATCAGGCTTGTAAAATAATGTGCCTCGTCTAAAATAAAACAAGAGATGAGTGGATGGAGCACAACACCAGAGGGAGAACTGTGGCAGCCAAAGCTAGTTAGGGCCAAGGTGGAGCTGACCAAGCGTGAAGAGACTGTGCATTTCTAATGACATCTTCTGTGCTCTACATCAATAGCCTTTGTTTATTTGCAGCATGTGCAGAGCTCCGCAGAGAGCTCGCCATCTCCTGCCATCTCTTGTCATAACTGTGACTGCTGTAGATCAGGTGGGAGAGGCTGATGTTGGTGACTGCTGACACTTCAACTTTGCACGGCTTTTGACAGTGGCATTCTTCACTTTTCCCACTTCAATTACACAACAAGAACAAAACTGTTCCGCTCTCTTCAGTTTCCCCAAATTTCTTCTTTTTTTTTTACACTCTGGTCCTGAGAATTACTTGTGTTGTGCACAGTCTTGTCTCCTTCCTACCTGTACTGTAACTAACTAACTGTGGCAGAGGTACCAGAAGGAACTAAGTATTTTTCAACTTCAGCTTCGTTTCTCCCTCCTTTTACTCCTCTGTTGTTGTCACAGTGGCAGAAGCAATGTGGCCCCAAGAGAAGCCCTGGGGGCCTGTAAAGATCTGTGAGCTCACCCTGTTGCACTGCTGAGAGGTTGAGGACACTGACACTAATGACTGTGAAGCCATGCAGCTACCTCTGTAGCATGCTAAACTAGCACAGATACTGCTGCAGCACTCTGTCAGAGAGATAATGGGCTCTTGAAGGGACAGACAGGGTCAGACACACAATGCAGCACATGTAATAGTGGATCTACTGCCAGATAGTTCATACTACGTCGTGTGAGGGTAATTTAAATGAAAGACGAAATCCGCATTCGGTGTCCTTTGTTTTTCGTCACCATATTTTTTGAGTAAGGATGCACAAACACAGTGATCTAGACTCGTGCTGTTCCAGTCAAGTGCAGCAGCCTAGTGCTGCAGAATGTTGCAGAAATTGCTGCAAAAGCAATCTTTATTATCTGTATTTATTTATCTTGAAGTGTTTGTTCCTGGTACTTTTGCATTTATTGGTTAGGTTGTGAGCTATAATACTGAAAGGCAGGCCTAAAATTGAAGGAATTCAATACATATTGGACTGACATTAATATTATGTATCAGGTAAGAGTCACCAAACATGGTTTCACCTTAGATTATTGTTATTTTTATGAGTTTATTTATTTTGTAATTCAGCATCCTACATAGCATAATGTGTGTTAAAGGTCATGTCTGTGATGTAGACTGCATCAGGATAGGGATCCTTGAGGTTTGGAACCTTTATAATATGACTGGCAATGGAATCCAAAAAAGTTTTTTACTTCAGATCTGGCTATGCAGTCATGTCCACCTTTGTGATGCTGATTTAAATGACGAAACAAATTTGTTATGCTTCCTCATGTTGGGGCAACATTTATAAGATGTTGCCAACTAGTGTTGCCTGTCTTTTGCAACTATCTATCCATCCATCCATCCATCCATCCATCCATCCATCCATCCATCCATCCATCATCTATATACCGTTTAATCCTCACTAGGGTCGCGGGGGCCTGGAGTCTATCCCAGCTGACTTAGGGGACACCCTGGACAGATCACCAGTCTATCACAGGGCTACACTTAGAGACAGACAACCAAGCACAGTCACATTCACACCTACTGACAATTCAGAATCACCAATTAACCTCAGCATGTTTTTGGACTGTGTGGGAGGAAGCCGGAGAACCCGGAGAGAACCCACGCTGCACAGGGAGAATATGCAAACTCCACACAGAAAGATCCCGGGATCAGCAAGAAAGTCGCAAACCGGCGACCTTTTTGCTGCGAGGCGGCAGTGCTACCAACTGCGCCACCTTCTTTTGCAACTAAATTTACCTTTTTAGTGTTCCTCATTTTGCTGTGCACATGCAGAGCCTGCATGTCAACAAACTCTGTCATGTTAATTTAGTATGCCTTTGCTCAGTTACTAACCCTCAACCCCTTCTTTTGATCTCTGGTTAACTAGGAATTAACAGGTTTTAACACTTTTTTTTTTTAACACTGCAGGTGCAGATCCTGCTGCATGCAAGGCACTTTATAATCTCTGTTCATTATGTGCAACATACAGTATGTGATCGTGTCTATGCTGTTTACTGGTCTGACTCTGCCAGCTCTACTGGTGTAGATATGTAAAATAAATGGCCTTGTAGGGAATCTGGAGAAATGTGGTGGGAACACAGACACTTCTTGTGACTGTGTTTAAGGTGCCCCTTGTACTCTGTCACTACTGTTCCAAAGAAATATACACAGATATGGTGTGTACAGTTTGACAGTTTGAGTATATCCTAAAACCACCATTTTCCTTGGTTTGACCCACACTGGTGAATCTGTAGTTCATTTCAATAGATATAGGTCAAATTTAACCAAAAAAAACACAAAATTTAACCACAAAAATTTGTAGCACCTGAACACATTTTTCTGGGTTTATTTTAGGTCACTGCAGGAGAAGACATGAAATTAAAGGCTAGAAATATGGTTTTATGGTGTTTTTAGTACTATCAAATGTCAAAACAGGAAGATGTGACCTGAACAGTATGTAAGGGTCACAGCCCAGTAACTGAAATGCTTCTTATTTTCACAGTGTTAATGTGTTTGGTTTTATTTTTCTTTAACCCATTTTCACCTTTCATGAATTAACACCTTATTGAATTTACACCATATGTTTCACACTGAAACTTGTTTCCTGAATCCACACAGGCGCACATACACATGCGTGACATGTTCTTGCATTGTCACTAACATGCACTAGTGCTAACATGTGCACATTCTCCTAAGAGCACACATGGACCCAGACATATTAACTCATTCATTCTGTGCCACACTCACACGACAGCACCCCATTGCTAGGATAAGAGGTGTAAGCCCAGCTTCTCTCCACTTAAACTACTCCAGCACTCTGGATGCCTGCACCGCCCGCATTCCCAGACAGGCATAACTCGTAGACGCTACAACCTAAGCACATAGCATGGCATTTTACTGGCCTGTTGTGTTATTGTGACAAAGATCAAAGGTTGAACTTGAAAAGTCCTCTGCAGAGAAAGCCCAGCCAAAGGTGGTATTACATTTAGGTTGTGTTTTTCCAATGGCATGTTTTTACAGTGAACAGTCACGTCCTGCGTGAGTAAGTCAAACAATAAGTAGTTTTAACAAGCAATAAAAAGACACTTACTACTGATAAGGCATCTCTTTTAGCTTAATGAAGGTCTCAGTCAACCTCTTTGGCTGCCCTTTATTAAAGGCACAAGAGCTTTTTAATTCTAAGGCCTGCGAGCATGTAAAACGGATGGATAAAGGGGATTTTGGAGGAATGTTGTAGAGTTCATGGAAATCATCAAGAAGAGGGGATGATGAATGCTCCATGTGCACTTAACACACTGTACATATGGCCTCATCAGCAGCAGCTGAAGGAATGCTGTGTAATACACGAACAGCCCTTGCACTGTCCTTGTCAGCACCACAGGCAAGTTCTTCATTTACTCTTAATTCACCGCCATTCTTATGGTTTGTTACTTTTTAAAATCATTCTTTACCCTTCTGCAGAAACAGTACAATTAATGGTAAGTTTAAAGGATATAAACCTGTTTTTTTTTTACAACCCTGTTTTTTGGCTAGAGAAGAAGCTCCCAAATGTAAATGCTGTCAAAACAAAGGCAGCCATATGTGATTTAATTTTGAATTAAATCAGGAACTGTTGGATAAAATATTACGACTGCAAACCAGACTGTCTTTTTTTTAAAAAGATATTTTTTGGGCTTTTTTTTGCCTTTAATGGATAGGACAGTGAAAGAGTGACAGAAAAACATGGGGAGAAGAGCGGGGAAAGGACATGCAGCAAATGAGCCACTGGCTGGAATTGAACCGCAGCTGCTGCATCGAGGACCATAGCCCCTGTACATGGGTCACCTGCACAACCTGTTGAGCTCTCTGCAAACAGACTTTCATTGGCAGGTTTCTGTCCTTAACAGCTTGTGGTGTTCTGCATATGTTTTGCTCAGTAATGCAGTCAGGGCTGTAGATAAGAATACCTGAGTAAAGGTTCACATAGGCCCACACAGTTCCGAGTAGGTGTAGACTGATAATCAGTTAGGCCAATTAGTGGATCC